AACGTTAACTCTGATTTCTCTCCACAGATGCTGCCAGATCTGCTGAGCTTTTCCAGCAGTCTCTATGTTTGTTGTAAATATTATTGTCTGGCATACATTACCACATAAGAAAAATAAAACTAGACTAAATAATATACCACAAAATACACTTTTGCAATTTATATATAATTTAAAGCTGTCCACAGAGTACCTACTCTCATGTTTGGCATGGTTTCTTGATTACGTTACCAGAAGAAAACTGAAAGGAAATTGCATAAAGTGTGTTTCCAGCTATTTCTGTGCCTGTTAGAATGTACTTGGACATTCTCTGGCATTTAAACAGGACAAGATTGTTTCATTTGTGATGTGTTTTAGGGTGTATATGAACAAGGAACAAGAGTTGGTCACTTGGCCCTTCGAAACTGCTCCACCGTTCAATAAAATCATGGATTTTATCCTCAACCTGCATATAACCCTGATAATCTCTCATCCCCTTGGTAATCAAGAATCTATCTAGCTCTGCTTTAAAAATATTTAAAGATTCAGTATCCATTGCAGTTTGAGGACAGGAATTCCAAAGACTCACAACCGTGTGAGAGAAAAGAGTTTCTTTGCAGTGTTCAAATTACATCCTCTGCTGATTGCACAATTTCTCTCCAAAGACTACTGTAAGAGGAGGTGAGACAGCAGTGAGTGGATAGGCCAGAAGAAATAGCACAGCACCATCTGATAACTGCTACTGAGAAAAACATCACTAAAATCTGAGAAAAAGAGTAAAAGCTTCAACAAATCTTGGGAGGCTCCCCTTCAGACATGCACTATAACTTTGCCGCACAGTGTTGGAAAATGGAAGGAAGCTGATCTGCTGTTCATGGGAATATCAGAGACGAAATTTACTCCTTTCCCGCGTCATGGAAGTTGGGATTGGGGGAGCAGAATGGAGAGGTGCAATGGAGGAGAGGAAGGTAAGCGACTTCTTTTACTGGGACATGAGAAGCGGCGTTACAAATTGAAGTTTCACCTTCCTAAACTGCTGTGTCTCAACGCGACCAAACATCAAGATCAACTCTACTTTCTTGCCCAATATTCTTATTCTGTTACTAGCCAAAAATCTATCATTCTCAGTTGCGAGTACACTCATTGATTCTGTAGCTCTCTGGGATAAGGAATTCAAAAAATTCACAACCTTCAAAGTGAAGAAATCCAACCGTCTATCTCCAAGCTGTGAACCATAGCTTTGATCTCTCCAAAGTGGAGAAATACCTCTCATCATCTCATTTATCAAGCGTCTATGAAATTTATACATCTATATGAGGGCTGTCACATAGGGTCCAGATCCACCTTGAAAAAAACACTTGTTCAATTCTCCAGAGTGCGTAGAGACTATGTTTATGATGGTTGACATGAGGTAAGCACTGTTGAGGCCTTGTAACTAAGAACACTTCCCAATAAGCCCACAAACTCCATCAGGGCCAGTGTTGGATTTCACTGACAAGTGGTATACCCAGTGCCATTGCCAGCCTCAGGTGCCATGGGTTTTTAAGCCCAGTGCCTACTGAAGGCCAGGGCTGTGAAGACTGTAGCAACTCTATTAAACAGCTTAAGTTCAATTTAAGATGAAAACAAGCACAACTAATCCACTGGAAGACTAGGGCAAGGCCAATTTGTCAGCCTTATGCAGGAGAAATGCAAATCTTTTGACCCTTCGAAGTTTAGTACCTGCGTTGATGAGGTGAGCACCTTCAGGGCCCACGTGCACAGATGCTGCCTGACCTGCTGTGTATTTCCAACAACTTTTATTTACAATACAACTAATCTAATGTTGGCTTTGGTTCAAGGTTTAATAAGTATGTCCTCACTAACTGCTTAGATATTTTGGTTAATATTTAGCTGTGCTGTTAGCTATGGCACCTTACCTTTGAGAATTGAACAAATTAAATGTTGGACTTAGGGATTGGGTTTTGTTACATTTGATTTGATGTCAAATATTGGATGTAATCTTGCCTCCCACCACTGGATGGCATTTATAGTCACATTGTGTGAAAGTAACATGGATGTTTTGCAGTTGGACGATGAGAGAGAAAGCTCAAGTCGGGATCAAAATGACAATTTAAATTGAGAATATACAAAGGGCAAAGAGCAATGGAGACTGTAAGTAATGTAAAGGAGAAAATACTTATGGATGACCTGATAGTACAATCTGGGTGATAAAAACTTGAGCATTATATTAACTTTACATACTGAACCTGATCAAAAACAACTTTGGGAACAAATAGTATGTTCCTGTGAAGGCCAAGTTAAGAGATAGGAAAAAAATTGAACTGAAATGTACAATGAGTTGCTGTCAGCTGTTATTGTTCAAGGCATTTTGCAGTCAATAAGATTGTTAAAAACCCATGTTGAGATGAATAAATAGTTTAGACAGTTTCTCTTCATGTCCAGGGAATCTAAGAACTCTGATAGCTCACCAGAATCGTTAACATCACCAAAGTCACAGGAACTGTTAGGACTTTGGGAAGTCGCACTGCAATTGCAGAGGGTCTTGGTGACCCTGTATCTAGAAGACTGTGGTCAGTTTTATTTTCCTGAGCTAGGCAAGGTTTGACTTGCCATATTAGGTATACAGTGAAGACAGATTTTCTGGGATGAGATAACAAGGTGTAGTGCTGGATGAACACAGCAGGCCAAGCAGCATCAGAGGAGCAGGAAGACTGACATTTCGGGCCTAGACC